AGAGAGAGAGAGAGAGAGAGAGAGAGAGAGAGAGAGAGAGAGAGAGAGAGAGAGAGAGAGAGAGAGAGAGAGAGAGAGCTTGGGGGGGGGCTGGTTGAGAGGATACAAGAGTTCCAATGGCAACCAATGTCCGGAAAATATTTTCAGGATCCTCGTCTGCTGATGCAAGCTGCAACATCAAGAAAGAAAAACGTTTTATTAGACTCAGTGGTTCCTTAAAACGTTGAACAGTTTGAACTGTTACAAAAAGCAGACGAGGCAAGAAGGTGCAAACACTGCAAATCATGCTGCGATCGCTGCCCTTTGAAAGCGGGAATAGCCGCTAACATCAGGATTTCGACTGATGACTTATCAACTGCTATAGATGTGAGTACACTCCTGTGAGTGCACCCTTTTCTTTTTCTTTTTTTTCAAGGAGAAGATGTGAGTACACTACTGAGAAACAGAATGGGTGCTGCATGCATCATTCATTTTCGAGTTTCAGCTATTCAACCAACAAAAAACACACGCAGAAGAAGAGGAGGACAGACACCTACACACACACACACACACACACACACACACACACACACACACACACACACACACACACACACACACAAAGAAAAAGGAGATTGCAACGGATAACGATGGAGAGAATCCGGGAAAGACCCCTATGCAATGGAAACGGAAAACAATGACATAATCAACAGACTGGCAGGGAGAAAAAAGAGAGGCAGGGGGGGGGGGGGGGGGGGGGGGGGGGGGCAGGAGAAGAGCAGCATAGTTCGTGTGCATGCAATGATGACATGCCCAAATCAAGAAAGAGCATCAAACGTTTTTCAGGCTTTGTCTACTCAACGCTTTGAACTTTGGGAAGTAAAAAAGAAAAAAAGAAAGAAACAAAAAAGAAAAAAACGAAAAAGAAAGAGAACAAATCAATACTGCTTCGCTTGCAAGAAAATAGGCAAGGAGAGCATGGCAATAACTTTTGCCTTGTCTTCGACTTTTTGTATTCATTTTCTGTGATATTTTCTTCTTTTGTAGTTGTCGTTACTTACCTTAGACGCTGCGCAGAATGTATATGGAGCCAGGAGCCGGGACCCACTAGCATCGAGTAAATCGGTGTGTGGCGGCCGTTTCTTTTTAAAAAAACATATAAAGAATCCTTTTTTTTTTTTTTTCAGAAATGCAAAGAAAACAAGGCCAACGCTATGCATCCACACTTCCACCAACCCGGTACATCTGCATGCGAGCTTCCCACCGGCCTGTTCGCAGTCTTCCGCGGAAATCTCAATATTCTCAATTTCTGCGAAAAAAAATAGCAAGGTGCGAAGCTTCAAAAACACCCCCCCACTCAAAAAACCATAGTATTGCAGCTTCGCGCCAACACAAAGTGGCTACCTAAATGGACAAAAAAATGAAAACGAAACTCTTCTATTGGCCGGCGGACAGATACGTCCACGAAATCGGTCCTTATCGCCCTGCGCCGAAGATACACAAAAGGATCAACGGTCGCCGGATGTCACCTCTCGCCGCACGTGGTTGAAAACCAAACTGCCGAAGCGTAAATCGACGCTAGTGGGTCGCAGCTCCAGGGCCATAAGGACCTGTTCCATAAGGACCTGTTAATATTAAAAAAAAAAAAAAAAAAGCTAAAAAAAGTGGTTGCTTATCTGTCGTCTGAGGTTGCCTGCGGGAACACTTGGAAGTCCTTTTTYTTYTYTCTYTTTTTTTTTTTTTTTTTTTTTTTTTKTTGAAATGACGACAACCAGAGCCAGCAGCCTAGCTCAGTTGGTAGAGCATGAGAGTTGCGTTCAGGAGGTCGTGGGTTCAATTCCTCATGCCTGCCATTCGAATACCCAAGGGCTCCTGGTGTGGTGGGCACTGCAGGTTCACCAACTGAGATAGCCAGCTAGTGCCCTCCCCCCTCCCCCCCCCCAAGCTAGCTGGAGGGATGCATTCAGTCCCTCCCAGTCGTTGCCAGGGGTCAGGTTCATCCCTGATGGGACAGCCTCAACCCTGAGGGGATAGGCTGAGGGGAGGGGATAGGCTGAGGGGAGGGGATAGGCAGATGGCATATGATAAAACCCATAACCCTAAACTAGGGTCACTAGATGTACGTATGGATATGCGGGATTGCTGGCTGATACTGGTCCCAGTTGGACGGGTAGCTACTGTACTACGGATAATTGAGAGAAGAAAATAGCGTAGTCAAAATACAGCTGGCCCCCATATATGAGAAGAAGACAAATGTTTTTCAAAAAAAAAAACAAAAAAAAAAAAACAAGAAATGACAACGACCTTGAGATATCATCATCAATAAACTGACCAGTCCCAGGTAATTCAGATTGATTTTTTTAATATATATATTTCCAAACAGAACATCACTTGGGCCCCATGCGAACATAGACTCGTCACGAGCCGACCACACGGATCGAACGTGCTACCTCCTGATCAGGAGGCAAACACTCAACCAAACGGCTAAGAATGATTTGTATCTGGTCATGGGCTGTATATGGATTCCAACTTGGGTCTGATTCATATTTCAACAGTTAATTGGTGTACCAACTGAGCTAGGCCCCTTGGTACACCGGGAAATCCTTAACCTTCTCTTTTTTATTTTCTTTTTTTCTTTTCTTTTTCTCCTTAACCTTCTCAGCAACCCTTTTCGGGCCTTTTTTTTTTTTTTTTAAGCTGTGGCTGCAATTCGGGTGTCTCCCGTGGCAGCTGTAGCTGCAGTAACGGCGCATTACACAGTCTCCAGAGAGAGCTGGCTGCATGTGTGTCAGTCTAGAGAGAGAAGGCTGCATGTGTGTGTCTCGAGAGAGCAGGCTGTGTGTGTGTGTGTGTGTGTGTGTGTGTGTGTTTGTGTGTGTGTGCGCGCGTGTGTGTGTGCGTGTGTGTGTGTGTGTGTTGGTATGTTTATTTATGTCTTGTAGATTTTCACCACAACAGCCCTTGTTCCACCCAGATGAGTAGGTCCAAAATTGAAGCAGCTTTACCTCTATTGCAGACGATGAAGCATGCTTAAGATGAGCCAATCCAACAATGAAACAGTTTTACCTCTATAGCAAGCAACATGGAGCATAAAAGATCAGTTGTATCCCTTTCTTGGGGTACCCCTTCTTTTTTTTTGTTCAAGTTTCTCTCCAGTGCGGGGCACCAGGCCTCGATACGCCCTACTGGGCCCTATCTTCAGCATAGTCGGCCGCCCTAAGAGAAGGCAGGCTTGACCGAGGCCTACAGGCCAATTTTGGGGTCACCACACAACTGGGGAAATTCAGGCAGTTGCGCAGCGCCAGTTGGTTGAACGCGCCCAGGGCAGCTTTTGGTGTGCTCTTATTTGGTGAAACTCGTGATGCAATTCTGCTATTGGTTCGAGGTCACGACTATCTGGTCTCATGTGTATGATGCTGTTTGATTTCTGAAGTTCGCTATTGCTCATCTTCCTTGCACCAGCTTTTTCTTAGGTGGAATTATGCCCTAAGCGTAATAATCCACATCCATACCAAAGCTGGGCCTTTCTCCTTAGGGTTGATCCTCAACTCTGCTCCGTGCGGGGAGCTGTACCCAGGGTCCTAACCCCCGGCGCGGGGTGGAAGGAAACCTACCACGACCAGCCAGAGAGAGGGGGGGGGTTGAGCCGACTATCTCAGCTGGTGAGCCCGAAGCATGCCCCAGGGGCCCCGGGGGATCAAATGGATGACATGGGGAATCAAACTCACGATCTCCTGAATGCCACTGTCGTGCTCTACCAACTGAGCTAGGCCAATGGGGTACCCGTTTTATTTGTTCTTGCACCTCTCTTTCTACTATGCCTCTCATGTACAAGGCTTCCCAGCTACCCAGATCCCCATGTGTCGTAACGGCCCACTTGCACTTTATGAAAGGAGGCAGAGTAAAAGGGGAGGTATACTCATGTTCATTCTTCTTCAGATCTTCAGCTTATACTTTTGTCCGTGCTCATAATGATGCTCATCCGTATGCATTTACTAGAAAACACACAAGAGGACGGAGGAAGGAAAGCGGTAGGGGGTGGAGTTCTACAGGAATCGAGGGGCGGGAGAGGGGGAGGGAGGAGGGGTAGAGGAGGGAAGCGGAGGGGCAAAAAGAACAGAGCAGAGGAAAGATGAACTTCACCGGGTTCTCAATACTCACCTGCAATGTTGTTATATATTCTCAGCGAGCTGTAACACCAACTACCGTCTTCACCCGAAAATAATGCCCGGGCATTATATTCAAATTCGTAACTTACTCTTAAAGATGAGATTTTCGTTTTAACTCACATTTTTTCAAATAAAACGCCCCTTTGAATAGAATGCCCGGGCGTAGGGGAGGGAGGGGGGAGAAGGGGAAGAGGGAAATGAAGTCGGGCCGGTCGGGCTGGTCGGTTGGTCGGTCTGTCAGTCTGCCGGTCTGCCGGTCTGCCGGTCTGCCGGTCCAGCTGGTCCCATCAGTCCCGTATGGTTGTCCCGGTCTATCCCAGTCCATCCCATATGTCCCGTCCGATCCCATCCGGTCCCGTCCCGTCCGGTCCGTCCATCCGTCCATCTGCCTGCCTGCCTCTCTTTCTCTCTCTCTCTCTTTCTCTCTCTCTCACACACACACACACACACACACAGAGGAAACTTGAATTGAGGACCAGGCATTACCTACGGTAAGTGGCCAACCGAACAGGCTGGACAGGACCGGTTCCAGTGTGGACTGTGGAAGCACCTCATCCAACTCTCGCAGTTGCGTTTGCTGCAGCGGATCGCATCCCATAAACAGATGTCACAGGCTACGTGGCTCCTACATCGTAGGAACAGAGAGGCACTTAGGCATTGCCGTTCCAGCCCCTGTCGATAAATCAGGATTTTTTCTTTTTTTTTGATACTTCGAAATTCAAAGTTTGAACTTGACAATGTCTTGAGAGTTCTTAACAGAAAAAAAGAACACCCGGGAGAAACATCAATTATGTCCCCGTTGACCAGAAAGGTGTACCGGATTCATTGAATTTCATTCCTCCTCGCACTCATTTCACCTGATACGTTGGCAATTAATTTAAACATAAAAAGCAAAAGCAGAACAAGCAACGTGCGAGAAACGTCAACCATCTCCCTGTTCTACAATGAATTTCAAAATCAAATTTCAAATTTCACATTTCGTATTTAAAATCATGCAACCTTGTCCTCAGAATCTCAGATG